ATGCTTCCAGACAGTTCTGACGCCAGTCTGAAATTCTTTCAGCTAGAAGCATCTGCCGAAAAAACCGATGCTGGTAGCGACAAAAACTGCAGGGAACTCTGCAAAAAACGCATCTTCGCACGCACAGCCCGTGCGTTAACGGCACTGTTTTTGCAGGTGCTTCTAGCTAAAAGAATTGAGGCTGACCGGCACTATTGTTAGAAATTATTGCAGTGACTCCCAGTCCACGCTCAAAAAAATCCAGCATTCCAGATGTGCGGGATGACGACAAATTTCATGTGTTCGTACGTGACACGTATGTGCTACGTGAAGGGTAAGTTAAGCCTATTTTCACGTCCACCTGACCAAACGCCACCACCAACCAAGTTCAGAAAGTTTTAGCCCTCTAACTGCTTTAGTTTCGAAGTTACGAAACTGTTTACATCAAATTTCACGTGTCTGTATGTGAGACACAGAGGGGCTGAAAGGTTACTATAATGCTCGGGCACGCCAGTGGCTGACAAGTAAAGCTGCAAAATTATCTCTCAACAACTTCTTGGTCAGCTTAGCTCCCTAGTTGACAGGATGCCAATTTAAAATTTGAGATGTACGTACGTGAGATCTAGAAGTGCGTGAAGACTGAATTTAAAATCTTCGGGTTGGGCGTGAGCAAGGAGGATCTTTGTGAAATTTCAGCCTTCTAGTCCGCGTGGTTTCCGAAATCACCTTCCCACCGAAAAACCTTTCATGTGCCCACACGTGAGAACCATGTGGGCTAAACGTCCATTTTGAAGATAGAGGACTGTACGTAGGTGTAGATTAAGTTGCTAAAGTTCAATCTTATAACTTTTGTGGGTTTCGAGATGAAAATTCGGTACAGGCGCACACACAAACAATCGCATACACAGATATACACACAGACAATCCCCAACAATATGCATTATTACATCAAACAGCTGCTAAAAAAGCATTAAAAAGCTGTTAAGCGCTGAGCAAGCAACCTCCCTAAGGCAGAAACAGACTGATTCACACTTTCACTGTTTATTTCATAATCGTATCAGAAATTTAACCCTTGTCGGATGTATTTCTATTTTTCCATTTTTATGCGTTCCCGCACATATGCAAATGCAAAAACGTATATTGGCAAAAAGCTGTGTATGTATGTGTGCGTGCATGCGTGTGAATGTGTGTGTGTGTGGGTGGGTGGGTTAGCGGAATTTATCACCCACTTTCAATTCAGTAATTGGGAGAGCTGGAAGGCTGAAATTTTGTGAAGTTATTTTCAACATTTGTGTCATCCTTACAACCTGAAGTCATCGCTCACATAAATCTGGATTTCACGTACGGACACCGGAAAAAATATGCAAATTTTGTGATGAGAAAACGATTTTGAGAACCAGACAAGCTACAAACCTGAAAATTTACACTAATTTCCTCTATTCAAGTTCAGCTATCGCACACGCCTATACCAAGAGTACAATCACGTCAAAGTTCGCAGTTGGCACTGCGCCTTTTCAAAAACTAGCTGGAAAATAGTAAGTGAAAATCCTTCAGAATATTTATCGTTTGCCTGGGATCGTATACCTAGTTTATATGCTTAAAACGAGTTCGTGTACCTAAAACGAGTCTCGATTGCATACCTAAAATGAGTTTCGATTTGTAATTGCACCACGACTT